AGTACAGTAAAAGAGAGCCAGTAGGAAACAGGGAGGCAGACTTCGGAGATCAAGGAAAGCAGGAAGGAGGGAGAGAGGGAGGGGGCAAAGGAGATCAAAAATAATCAGGCTTTACACGTGCCCATCCCCCAAACAAATACAAGTGTCTTGTACCACAAACATACACAAATAAATCAGTAATATTCAAATTCTCCTTTGCCCTTGTTACTTTGAAAATATCTTCTTTTGCTCCTTCACTTAGCTGAAATGAGGAGAATCTACTCTGTTATATCCACCTTTTCCCCTTCCCAAACTGCTGAAGTTAAATTTGAATGGAAGGATGAAGGGGCAGGGGTGTCACATGGTGGCCGACCTGGTAGAGCTCCATACCCCAGGATCTGGGTCTGACCCATCTGCCCAGCAAGAAGAATAGAAATCTGGGAGAAGATACTTTTCCAGCATTGTGTTTGTATGTGTCTGTTCATACAAACTGAACTCAGGGTTGGTACCACTTCTCCAAATAAAATTGTGACTAAGTAATAATCAAAGAAAAAAAAAAGAATAGCAAAATTTTTAAATGCGTCTGATGGCTGTGATATTGTGAAGTCTATAGGTAATATCTACCTGCATATTTATATCTGGTCTTTGTGTCTATTTCCTGGCACACAACTCCTAAAACCCTTAGAATCTCTAAAATGGTAAGTGGGTTTTTTGGGTATGCTAAGGAGTTGACTGAGGACCACTGAGCACACCATAGCTTTAGGAGGGGCTGAATGAGCACAGGAAAACCAAGACAGGATTAGCAGGTCAGGCCTTTCAATCTACCCCAACCTCGGGGAAGGATAGAGGAGCTGAAGGTTGAGCTGGTCAACAGTGACCAATAAGTTTATCATTTATGCCTATGGAATGAAGCCTCCAGAAGAACCTCAAAGAGCAGAGTTTGGAAGGCTTCTGGCTAGCTGAAGACACGGACCTTCCTGAAGTGTGGAGCCCTGAGAAGGCACCGAAACTCCACACCCATTCTTCTCCACCTCACCCCATGCATCTCTCCCCCCGGCCATTCATCCTTATGCTTGGCAGTATCCTCTATATTACACCAGGAAACATGTAAAGTGTCTACCTGATCCCGTGAGCCACTCTAGAAAATTCCTTCAACCCCACAGAGGAGCCCTCAAGTACAGCTGGTTGGTCAGAACCACAAACAAGACACCACGGAGTTTGCACTTTGCCTCAGAGGGCAGGGCAGCTGTGGCACTGAGACCTCAACCTGCGGGCCCTGACGCTACCTCTGGGCAGACAGCGTGAGCGCGGAGTTGAGTTGGAGGACACGCAGCAGCTGCTTTGCTTGGTCTATGGGGGGAAATCCCCACACTCTGGCTCACAGAAGTGTTCTACATTGTGGGAGAAAGTAGGAGAAACTGAGTTTGTCTTTCCCTATACTTGTCAGACAATGGTTATCTAAACAGGGAACCCATGTGGCAGTGTCCTCACGTGTTCCTTGGCAGCCTGGCTCAGCCTCTGTGAGCTCGTCAGTTTGTTTCCCTGCTTGAACCGACTGTCAGATGCACCAGGAGGGCTGGAGCGAGCAGCAATGTCTCGCAAAGGCTTCTGGATCATCTGAGGTCATGTCTGTCCTCATTGGAGCAAGAGGAGGAGGGAAGGAGGCGTCACGTGTCACCAGTGCAGCCTGTTAACATCAGATTCAATTCCTGCATCTGCCACAGTTGCTGTGGGCGCTTTCATGTGCGTCCACTGCTGCTTAACTTTATCCCTTTCAGCAACGGGTCTGTTCTCCCGCCACCATAAATGACAACCTGCGAGTCATAACAGCTAAAAGAATGCCATTCAGAATAACCTGCCAAGGGCAGCAGTTGTGGCTTTGGGAACCCTGCTCCACCCTCAGATCTTTCTCCCATCCTCTGGCCCTAGTCCAGCTCCCCGGAGCTGATGTGCCCCTCCTCCGGTGCTACTGCCATTGCAAAGGACGGATCAGTGACCGAGGAGAAAGAGACATAAAAAGAAAGTTCCTCAAAGAGTCCCTGACCTAGGGGAACGCTTTACAAATTGAGCCAAACCTGGTTCCTGCAAGTTCAAAGATTATGCTGACTGACTCCACCTCCCGAACAGCCTAGACAATCAAAGAGTGAACGTAACTCCCTTGGTTTTGACGTGCCTTAGATCAACAAGCAAATATTTCCTAAGCATTTGCCATGTGCTCAGCCCTGCGCCTTTTGCTGTGGGTGAGAAGGCAAAGAAGAAGATACAGAATCAGCCTCAGAGACAGTTCTCAAACCTTAGTGCACAGAGGAGTTACCCGGGGTGAGTTTCCTGGCTGTCCTTCCCTAGCGGTTCTAGTTCATCAAGCCTGGTGTGGCTGAATCTGCAACTTTAAGAGCCACAGCCAGGTGACTGAGACGCAGGAGGTGCTGGGACTGGACCACCCTTGAGAAGTACTGGTCTGTGACCCGGTTCCTCTCCTGAAGCAGTTTGCAATCCAGATGGGGTGATAACAACTACCCACACAGCAGTGCACGGCGATACATTTTCTATGATGCAGCTTCTAAATGTCACAGACGTTCACAAAGAGGAAGCAGACAGGAATGTCCTGAGAGTTCAGGCAAGACTGTAAATGGGGGTCCAGCAGGACTTGGTCAGGCAGGACTTGGACAAAGACGGCCCCAAGCCATTGTCCTAATAAAATCTCTTGATCCACCAGGAAAAGGTGAGCCCAGCACGGGCGTAAGTGAGGATGAAGACACAGGTTAGAAGACCTCCACCAAACTGCAGGAGAGGCTTCACGCGTCCACCGTAGGGAGGACACACGCGCCTCGCTGGCAGAATCATGAAGCCGGCATTTCCCGATAACACCGCGTCTGCATTTTCACTGCCGCATTCATGTGGTTTCCTGCACTTCATAATTTAACATTTGTAAGAGAGAAAAAATGCTGTTTTGAAACCCAAATAATGCACCACTCCGAGGCAGTCAGCCAGCTGCTAACAAGAGTGACATCCGAACATCATTTAAAGTGTCGCTCACAGCTCTGCTTCAGAGAGGAGATGTTTGGTAAGAACAAAAAATAATTAATTGTGCTCAGTATAAAACAAAATACAGGGCTCTATGGGCTGAGAGGTCTGGGACAGCAAGCTCAGGGAAGGATAGAGTTAGGTGCTCCTTGGAAAAAGAAAGGACCATAATTCAAAAGATGCCTATGTTGTTGATTTGACTAGACTATTCACAACAGACAGTGCCTACTGGGGAATGAATTATTAACCACAAATTCTGAAAGTCCTGCTTGGGGGCTGGGGATTTAGCTCAGCGGCAAAAAGTGCCTGCCTGGCAAGCACAAGGTCGTGAGTTCGGTTCCCAGTACCGGAGAAAAACAAACAAACAAACAACAACAACTGAAAGTCCTGCTTTCCCAAAAGGTTGGCTCTCAAGATGGGTTCGGTAGGTAGAAGGGTCCCACAGGCCCTTTCCTCACAGTAGCTAGAGCGGTGAGCCCTCTGCACAGGCTGACACGCCAAAGTCACCCCATCAATGCTGGGGAGAAACTAAAGTGCACATTATTTAATTAATTTCACTACAAGGCATTGAATTTTAAATGTGCAAGAGGCCTTGGAGATCACTGAGCTGTGCAATGCTCTTTTCATTTTTCTTTCCTTCCTTTTCCTTTCCTCTCCTCTCCTCTCCTCTCCTCTCCTCTCCTCTCCTCTCCTTTCCTTTCCTTTCCTTTCCTTTCCTGTTTTGGAGATTGAACTTGGGGCCACTGCAGTGAGCTACATCCCTAGCCTTTTTTTAATTCTGTTTTTATTTTGAAATACAGTCTCAGTAAGTTGCTAAGTAGTTCAAGCTGAGCTCAAATTTGTGACCCTCCAGCCTCATCCTCCCAAAGTACTGAGATCACAATTGTGTGCCACATGCCTGACCGTGTACTTGCATTTTTACAGATAAGTCCTTCCAGTGTAAGGGCTCCAAGGTCACCAAGATGGGCAAAAATGAACTGGGTTCCACAGGGGGGCTCATCTTCCAGAAAACATCAGGGATGGAGCTGATGAAAAAAATGTTCCTGGAAGTGCACATTATTTGGGTGTATACTTTGGAATTTTAAAAACTGTAGTTTGGGGTGTTTGAGTTCCAATCCCTAGACCAAGACTGTCACTCAGAGCGTCACATTTACTTAAAAGTTTCTTAGAGTAAGCCTATAATCCCAGCTACATGGGAGCTAACGCAGGAGGATTGCAGGTTTGAGACCAGACTGAGCAACTTAGTAAGGCCCTGTCTCAAAATAACAGAAGAGCTGAGAGCGTAGTTCAGTGATAGAACACTTGCCTCGCGTGTGCAAGGCCCAGGTTTTAAACCCCAATATTGCAAAACTCAAACAAACAAAAAACATCAACATAACAGCAATGATGTATTATTTATTTTATAAAGAACTAGAAGAAAAGAATTAGAAGATTTCCGAAGAAATGAGTAAATATTTCAGGAGACAGAAATGCTAAATGCCCTGATTTGATCATTACACGCTGTATACATGTATCAAATTACCACATTATACCCCATTGATAAAAAAGAAAAGTTACTCAAGAAGCATGTGTTGAACAAGCCTGCGAATGCCAATCATTCTCACCTTGCCCATCCCAAGGCTTGAAAAAGGGTAACAAACTTGTCATCAGATACAATGTTTCCTCTTGTATGACTGATTAATCCCTTATGTATTCCACTAACATGAAAGGTCTATAGAACCTGTTCCTTGTTAGCTGACTGTGTGTTTAGTTGTGCGTATGTTGTTTGCTTGTTTCCCAACCACAAATGCATTCTCCTTAGATCCTACTGCTCTGCAAATGTCACAAACAAACACACTAGGTTTCTCTGTTGCTCTCTTCCTAAGCATTTTCTCCAATGTCCTGTGGCTTGGGTTAGAGAGAAACAGCTATGCACTTGAGAGATGGCCCAGGGCACCGAATAACTGCTGCCTGATGAAATTTAAAACCAATAAATGTCAAGTCTTTCAATGACTTACCGAAAACATTCGTGTTTCAAGATCACCCTCACAGGCCGGCGTCCCCTGTCCTTCTCACGATCTGCAGCAGCCTTAGTTTGGAGGCTTCAAAACAGACGCCTTCCCCGGGCTCCAGGTTGCTGCAGTCACACAGAACAAAACACCAAGTCAGAATGCAAATGCCACTTCAAGCAGTTAGTGGATGTTCTGGGGAAATCCCTGGCCTTTCTCAAATGTGTATCTTACAACCTCAAACTAGCATGTTAATTACCAGAACGAAGCTATCACACATCTTATCTATATGCAGTGCCCTAAAATACTGGAGGTGGCGGTGCAGCGGGGAAGAGAGGAAACAAAGCCCCACAGTGGGGTAAGCAGTGCATCTTGAAATTGAGAGTATACACAGATAGGAACGGGCTTGTGAAATTCCACGTTTAATCAAACGAACGAAGGAAATAAAGGATGCATGATGTTTTAATGATTAAAGACTCTGGTGTGCAAGGGTCAAGGGTAGAAAGTGGAAAACGTTTTATCTCACATGAAAATTCATCTGATTCTCCTATCCCTTACAGACTCAGACTGATTGAGCAAATATCATTATTATTTTTCAATAAAAGGCTGTGATGACTGAACAAAAGGAGTCTAGGAGGAAATTTCCATTACACACTACAAATAGGGAACGGATGGGTTTTCCTTGTCTGCCTCTTGATAAAACTTAATAAATTTTTTCTCCTCCCAGGATGGAAAGCAGCGGTTAGTTACTCTAGACACTAGGCATGGAGTGAGTGGCCGAGATCTGCATGCCTCTTTCCCCCCACTCACTGCTGCTGATAAAGCCTACACATTCAAAGCATGTGTGACAAGGTCACTCAGAAAAGTTCTCCTTTGCCTTGGCCGCTCTGAAGGCTCACTGGTCACAGGCTGCGCTTGCAGTGTCTTCTGCTGCCTGCTCAAATCAACCCCAGTGTTTGTTTTTTGACAGTGGCCGTTTGTGAGCCCGGAAACTGCCTTCAAAAGGCGTCTGCATCCTCGCTTAGCATTTTATGAGCTCTTCCCCCTCTATGTTGAAAGCCCTTTGGGACATTGTCACCGGGTATTGCACCATGGCGGCCACCTCATACTTCTAACTCTAAATGCTATAAATCTCTGAAAATCCTAAGGCAATCACCATAGATCAAATCAAGTGACACACTTTTAAGAGAGGCTACAGTATGCTTCACTAGGTTTGTACAGGTAAATAACTCCTTGAAAGCCTTCTGGAGCTATTACTTTATGGAATGGTCAGTGTTTCTTAAAAGGACTTTTGGGGAGTTGTGACTATCTGTGGTTAAATTCATACAGACTTAAAACTTGGGAGGTGCAGGAGAAAGTATCTGTCTCCTGGTTAATGTTTAAACAAGTGAGTCAAGTTCAATGTCATTAAATTTTCAGTCTACTGGAAGAGCAACTGCCTGCAAATGGCAAAGTCTTTTTTATTTTCTTGATGCTATCAATACTCACAGAAAGTGGGGTTGTAAGGATTTTATTAGTTTTCTGAGCAGTTTTCTTGAAATGTAACTCAGCTCCCACTCAAATGTGTAACAGTAACATATTGATACAAATCAACATAAGCCAGGAAGTTCAAAGTCTGACAAACTGTCTTTAGTTTATGGGCTTAGTAAAAACAGAATTTGGAGAGAGACGGAGGATTTTAGCAAACTCACTGCAAGTTACTGGCTGGTATCAATCTTTCTTTTATACAACTAAAAATAGCTTGCTGCATTTCTCGTTTCTTGTTACCAACTTTACGTCTAGGTATTTTAGCATCAGAGGAGATCTTTGCCATCTAATTCAACTTCTGTACATGAACCTGCTGGCCCGGGAGGGCCATGTACCACTTGTAATCACACAGCAAGATAATAGATACTTTGACTAGGGTCTGGGTTGAATTACTCGTACTCATTGACTCTTAGTGTACATAAAATCAATCATGTAATGTAATGTAATGTGGTTTTAAATAAAAAAGGTTATCCTTAGCCTAACACTGGCTTTGGTTTGGTTTGGTTTGGTATGGGGGACTGAACTCACAGATTACTGGGCTATAGCTCTAGCCATTTTCCCCGAATTTTTTAAATTTGGGGACAGGGTCTCACTATGATGTGAGGCCTCAACCTTGTGATCCCCCTACCTCACTGCACAAGTAGCTGAGAGCGTGCACTGCCATGGCGTGCACTGCCATGCCTGGCTTCTAGCACATCTTTGCAAGATTCTCTGTTTTGCTTTTGTCCCATAGAAAGAAGTTCATTTCTGGATTATACTCCTGTCATCTGTTTTGGAGCACAATCTGGGAGAGGTAGAAAATTTCCATGCCTACCTCAAGGCCCTTCACTAGCTGCCAAAGCCAAGGGTCTGAAGAACAGGGCTTAAACTATGTAGAGAAGAAAAAATAAAACAAGGACTCATCCGTGTGACAATAATTTTCATTTTCATTTACCTCTGTAGAAGTGGAATTGGAAGTGATTTATTTTGTGATTGGTAGCTGACCCTCAGTTACACATACTGCAACAGGCACAAGATGATTTTTATCAAAAAACCACTGAAAAGTCTGCACAACCCCCTTTTGAGCAATAATCTCAATATGCTGGAGCTGGGGGTGTAGCTAAAAGGCTGAGCATATGCTTGTGGGTTTAATCTCCAACACCCACACATACACGAGGAATATACGTATTTTGCAGTGCTAAGGATCAAACTGAGGGCCTGTTAGGCAAGTGCCGCACTACTGAGCTATACCCCAGCTCTCAGGAAAAAGAACTTCAATGTTTCCTTCCTTTGACAAACTCTACACCAATGCTGCGGATAACCAACAAAACACACGGTCAAGTTCAATCTCATTGCCTACCTATTCATGGTTGTCAGTTGAAGTTATCATAAATAAAGATAGGGCCAAAAGGCCAAAAGAGGAAAAAGAAAGCCAAGTTCTGGAGCACTCACAGATAGGCTTGAATGTGTAAAAGTTTGCTCCACAAACAAGGCTCTCTCTTCAGAGAGTATCATGACAATGTTTTCAGATTTCTTGGGCATTTTGGTGACAATTTTCCAGATGGTTATACGCAGCAAAGTATTATATATTAACATAAGGCAAAGACAGTAGCATAAAAGCCATAAGATTTGTTTCTGTCTTAGTTTTGCAGCTAACTGTATCTTTCCAGCGGCCAAGGTAGAATTAAAGCGCAACTTAACAAATAAACAGACTTAAGTAAATAATGTCTGTAATCAATTCCCACTTATCAGTCAAGTTGTTCTTATATGTATTTGAATATTTCAAATCAAATAATATCTCTACAAATACAGCTCTATCTCTTATGATTTATTGCTGTATTAGGTGCCTCTTTATTCTAAAATTAAGCAATGATGGAGTTGGTAGAATTCCATGGTAGAATACCTTTTTAGTGGGGAAAAGTCATTTTAGTCAATAAAGGCTGGTGGCAAAAATGGCTCTTCATTTGGAAAGAGTCAGATCCTTTATACCATATAGAAAATAAATTCTAAATCAATAAAAAACTAACCATAAATGTTTCACAGATATATATATATACATATATATACATATATATACTTGTAATACATATACATTTTACACCATAAAATATTGATACATAATTTTATAATCCTAAAAGTTTCATAGGCTATTGTAAAGATGTTGACTTTTGCTTTAAAGTGGGAAGATACTAGAAAATTTTGAATGCAGTGGTATCACTGATCTGACTTGTTTTATGAGTCATTATCATTCAGTGTTTTGTGTAAGGAACAGTAGAGAAACCAGGTGTGGTGGTGCATGTCTGTAATCCTAGAACTTGGGAGCCTGCAGTACAGGAGGATTGCAAATTCTAGCCCAGCCTGAGCAATTTAGCAAGACCCAATCTCAAACAAATCTTAAAAAGCCCTGGGGATATAGCTACGGGCAAAGACCCTGTGTTCAATCCCCAGTAAAGGAAGAAAGGAAAAGAAAAGAAGGAGAAAGAAAAAGAAAGAAAAAAAGAAAGATTACCACTACCACCACCATAAAGGGGCAAGGTTGAAAACAGACAGCCAACTAGCAAAAATCCAGGGTAGACCCAGTCTCCACGGACAGAAGAGGTGACACCAAGAGTCGAGGTGATTAGAACTGGTCAGACTCTAAAATGTATTTGGAAAGTCAAGTTGACAAGATGTATAGGCCGAAGAAAAGATTCAAAGATCCCTCCAAGTTTTTAACCCAACTATCCCCCAAAATGGACTCACCAGCAGCAAGTTGGAAAAGACTGTAGAGTAATCAAGCACAAGGAGACAGACAGACCTGTACATTTGGACTTCATGGAGACAGATGGATAGAAGACCAAAGTTGGCAGCTTCCATAAGGATCCCCAGGAAACCCACTTCCTGATATTCCTTTCCCTGTGTAGCCCTCTCCCTGAGTGTGGACTGGATTCGGTGACTTGCTTCTTTGCAAATAGCGTGCGGCAGAAGTCATTGCCAAGACTGGGTAACAAGCAGACCATGGCTTCTCTCTTGGGTGTGTCTTGCATTCTTCTGGATTGCTGGGTCAGGGGAAGCCAATTGCTAGGTCATGTGAGTTTGGGAGATCCCAGTGCCTACCACCCCATCCTTCAGGCTACCAGCTTTATTACAGCCTCTTGGAAAACCTGCGGCCAGAGAAAACCAGCTACACTGTACGGCTGTTTCCCTTTCACAGAAACTAGAAAGGTAACAAAAACTTGTCTGAAGCAGCTCAGTTTTACATCAATAGATAAACATCAACAGATAACATATAACTGATAGGTAACTAAGACAGGATAGGAAAGCCACTCTTCAAGGAATTAATGGTGCTTTTTTCTTGTTGGAAACACCGAGGTACAACCACATCAAGTCATGTGCTCAGCATTAGGCAAATGCGGTGGAGGAGGGATCAAAGTCAGGTCATCTGATCGCAGATCTCTGGCCCTTAACTGCGGCATCATGCTACCCCTAGGATAATGGTGTCTCCTACCTAGGACGTACACACCTGAAATCTGATTTTCCACTGCAGAAAGTGCTGACATCACACACTTAATACCGGCAACGGATCACATGTATCCTCAGCAACCTCTCACTTACCTTCTATAATCTGTCAACCTTTGAGATT